TCTGGAAACTTTCAAAATAAAAGCCACGTACAGATAATCATCACCCCCTTACTTTTCTGACCGGTAGGTCAGTTACTTACTCTTCTGTAACGCCTGTTAACTCTCATTTCCCTTTGAGAGACAAACCGGCGTTCCTAGACTAATTGCGTGTGAGCAGCTCCCAGCGCTCGTACTTCCGCGTTTGGGACTTACCAACACGCTACACTCAAACTCCCTGATTTATCTCAATTCATTCCGAGATCAAACCTGACTATTTCACTCTGGAATATCCATCTTGGGTCATTAGCGCCATTAGTGTTTGGACTTGGAATTACATATATAATCGGATCATCAGGAAAAGAACAGTAAGTGACAGGAGGACAGGAGCACTTTGGGGTGGGGGGGGGGGGGGGATCAGATTTCTGCATAGGCCAATACCCATGTGGCCACACCCCTAGAACCGCCAATGATTAACTGTAATATAATAAAACAAATCCACTTGTACAACGATGCTGGATTTATTTACAGTCAACACAGATGGAACAGAACCACTATGATGTGCCATGATGTCATTAGACCATAGTGGTTCTGTTTCATCTGACCTTCTTCATGTTCAAAGGTCTAAAAAGGTAGAATAAAATATCTATAAATACAAAAAAATAAATAAAACATGTGGAAACTACGTTTGGTTCTTACACAGATCATGAAATCAAGACCTTTTGATCTGAATTGACTTTTATTAAAATAAAGTTAGCTAAACATTTGGTTTCCCTTCACAAAATAAAAGTCAGAAAAATATCAGATTCAATAAAAAATGTTTGTCTAAAGCACATGACGGTGTATAGCTGGGTGCAAAAACTCATTCTGTGGTCAAGTACAAGCTGAAGCAAAGTCGCCTTGAGTCCTGCTGAGTTTCAACCCATAACAAAAACTGATCCGCTGTTTACTCTACAAATACCCAGAATGCATCCCTGCTGGTGAGGCACTGACCTCTCTTCTCACAAGGACGCTCCTCCTAAGGAGAGGTCAAAGTGTACACAGTGTTGGTGATATACATGTGTCTGAGAAAAATGCCTAACCACCTTATCTGTTTCTGTCTCTAGTTGACTGCTTGGTTGAAGATGGCACGTGTTACTCTTCTGGCTCTCATAGCAGGTAAACTAAATTAAGAGCAACACATCTGGAAGTGTTTGGTAAACACGAGTATAAATAGATATTAACAGTTGCCATTGTAATATAACTAACATGCTGTTTGTTTTGGCAGTGCTGTTCTCACTGTTTATGGAAGCTGAAGCAAGTAAGGCGGGTTTTTTATCTTTAAACAGAGAAAATACTTAAATTGTTTCCAATGAGGGGGCGGGGCTTAAACTATATACTGAAACCAGCCACAAGAGGGTGTTGGAGGTTGACAGGTTACATTCAGCTGAAGGTGCCATTATAGTGACACTGTTTCTGTTAAGAGGGCAGACTAATCAGCAGTTTAAAGAACTTGTCACCAGCTGTGTGCTTTTTTAAAACTGTGATAAGTTTGCTGCTTGGCTGATTGTGTACAACTATAACTAATGTTTCCCTTTGTCTTCTTATCTCTGTCTTCTTGGTCTACAGATCCATTTGTTTACAGTAAGTGCAAGCACTCATATTTCCCATGTCTATAGTTTTTATATAATTAAGAAATAAAATCTAGGCCTGCACTGACTTGCACTGATTACTGAATAATAATAATAATAATAATAATAATAATAATAATAATAATAATAATAATAATAATAATAATAATAATAATAGTTATTATTATAATTATGTTAAACTGCTTGACTTAAAGCTGCTTTAACGAATCTGCAAAACAAGCTAGTTTTTAAACACTAACATGGTCACAGAACTCTCACCACGTCCTGATATGGGTGTGTGTAATTCTAGAGTAAACCAGTGAGTGCTAAACACTAGTCCCAGTTTTCTAGATCTAAAAATCTTTTGCAGTCAGTGATTTCAAATGGCGTTTTTCTTTGTGGGACTCCGATGGTTTGTCCTAAAGTTGAAGTGGTAGCAGCCAGCTGTTTCTCCTTCCCTGATTTTAGTAAGCAGAGAACCTCTCATATCAACGGTCCGTTTAAAAATGCATGAGTCCGTAATGAGTGGGGGGTAAATGTGGAAGTGCAGTGGTCTAGTAAGACAGACAAGCAGATGGTCCAGTTGTTGGTTTTGGACCAAGCTGCATTATTGACTTTAGCTATAAAAATCTTATGATATTCCATTTCCTTTCTGACTGCATTGTTTTGTATCTAACAGACTATGAAAGGCTGAGAATCGGAGGCCTCATCTTTACCGGCCTGCTGATAGCTGGAGGAGTCGGCACTCTTCTCTGTGAGTGCTACAGTCTCAAGAAAATAGAGTGATTGCACAGTAGCGTGTAAAAAAATTTACATTTCACTGAATATGAAGAGATGAGATGACCGGAGAGAAAACGTTTTTCACTTTACTCCGTGTCGCGTAAAAATCACATCAGTCATTGTGACTTGAAGAATTGTGCTAATACATGTACATACATGTATTAGCACAATTGTATTAGCTGTATTAGCACAGCCTTTGGTAACATTACCAAAGGCTGCATCCCATTTGGAAGAACAGCTAATAGGGTGGAATTCAGTAGCCTGGCCTGCCAGACTCTTCCTCTGTTTAATTCTGCACAGAGAAAGAGTCTGGTAACTCACAGGCAGAGAGGCACATGAGGGGCGGGCAGCTCAAAAATAACCAATAAGAAAAAAGACAGAAATGCCGACTGTGCCACGCGACGTTGTCGTTTTTTAGCTGTAGTAAAAAATGGCGTCTGGTGACAATGCAAACATCTTTTATTTTTCTAGAAGAAAGGCTTATAGCGCTTCGACTTGTTGTGGTTTTAAAGACATGCAAGTCATTTAGAACAGAGGAAACAGCCGCAGCAAACCTCCGCTGTTGTCTTCGTTGCTTATGAGAAACTGAGCGTCGCTGTGTGTGATGTCCGCGACGCTGTAGTTTTTCAGCAGAAGTCAAAAATGGCGTCTGGCAACGGCACAAACATCTTTTATTTTTTCAGAAGAAATGCTTTTAGTGCTTCTACTTGTTGTTGTTTTAAAGACATTCAAGTCATTTAGAGGAAAGAGCCGCAGTGAACTCCGCTTTAGTCGCCATGTTTAAGAGAAACTCGGCGTTATGGTGTGTGACGTACGCTACTCAGCGCTGATTGGCTCGGTTAGAATTCTCAGGGGGTGGGGTTATTTGAATAGGAGAGTTCCCAGACTCTTTCTCTGTGCAGAATTAAACAGAGGAGTCTGGCAGGCCAGGCCAGGCCAGGCATTCAGCCCTCAATAATATAACTGTACTTCCCGTGCTCTAGGACGTTAAAGTGTCTGCAGTGAAATGAGCCTATTTGCAATGACATCACTTGAAGTGATCATTTGGAAAACTACAAAAAATAATGTCATAAACACCTTTTACAAGTCAAAATTTGCCTTTTTTTTCTCACAGTACTTTGACAGCACGGGGAGAAACTGACTTCTAATTATTTTATAATCACAAGAACTCTTTTGCAAATCCTATAGAATCTAACACTTCTTGTTTTACTTCTTTTTTACATTTGTACTCTCTTTGTAGATAACCAATGTAGGGGGAAACTGAGGTAAGACACTCCTGTCACTTTTACTGTGTACTTAAACTTCCCCATCTCTGTAATATATATTGTCCCGTAACCTGCTGCCACTCCCTTTTCTCCTACTGGTAGAAAACACAATAATGGGGGTGAAATCTGATACTGCCAACCAACCGGTCACCCAAATGCAGGAAGAAGTGACATGCAAAGGAGTGAAGAGAGTAGGTGCCTGATGGAAGAGGAAGAGGAAGCACATTTGCTCAAAAGATCTGTACAAACCTGAGAAACAGCATCAACAGGAAGCAGCTTCAAAATGGGACAAGTCAATTCTGTTTTGTTTTGTTTTCCAAGACATTTAGTTTGTCCAGACCTGTGTATAAAACTTGGTGATTTATTTACATGACTAATTTTATTTCTTGTAGATGCATGAAAGGTTAGCTTTTCAGGGGGGTCATGTAGAGTAGCTTTGACTTGTTGCAGGTAGCCGTCTCTTAGAGCAGGGGTGCGAATTATTGACAAATACATTTGGTCATCCATTAAACTACTTCAAAAACCTGTTTAAAAACTAAGTGTGTTTCCAAAAAAATTATATTCCTGTCCAAAATTAAATGATTGTCACCAAGGAAAAAATCTGGCTTGTGTCATATTTTAATTAATTAACTAAATAATTAAACCAAACAGTCTTTTTAAATATGTTAATGTTACATTTCCTCTCTGGCGGATCTAGAACCGTTTACAAAGGAGATGCAGGAGGTCTAGGCAGGCGGGCAATGCTGGTGGCAAAAAATTAAAAAAACAGATGTTTCACTAAATAATTTTGGAAATTATTAAAAACAGGTGAACAATTCAGGAAAAGAAGTTAAATGAGTGTACAGAATGGATTTCAGCCATCATTGATAGACTTTTATAGACATTTGTAGACAAATGTACTTCCCGTGCTCTAGGACGTTAAAGTGTCTGCAGTGAAATGAGCCTATTTGCAATGACATCACTTGAAGTGATCATATGGAAAACTACAAAAAATAATGTCATAAACACCTTTTACAAGTCAAAATTTGCCTTTTTTTCTCACAGTACTTTGACAGCACGAGGAGAAACTGACTTCTAATTATTTTATAATCACAAGAACTCTTGCAAATCCTATAGAATCTAACACTTCTTGTTTTACTTCTTTTTTACATTTGTACTCTCTTTGTAGATAACCTTGTGTTTTTAAGGGGAAAACGTGTGCTGATGTTAGGATTGGGGGGGGGGGGGGGGGGGGGGGCGGTGAAGCTGAGGGGCAAGGTTTGTCCCCTGCAGGTCCGCCCCTGCTATAATATTTGGTCAAACATTTTTGCGCGTAAAAACCTCAGATAGAATTTGGACATCTTCGTTCTCGAGAAACAAACAATAAATCCGCTCTCCTGCTATTAACGCTGACTCTGGATCAGTTTTTACAGCGCGGTTTGTAGTCCTGCAGCGTTAGCCGTGAGCAGAAACCGACCCAGGATCAGAAATCTGCAACAGCCGCTGAACACTTCCCCTTCAGCTTAAAACCAACCTGTTGGTGCCACAGAGGAGTGGCGAGGGCTGGGTGTGGAGAGACTAGAAGCTGCTCCTCCGTCACGTTCTCCGGGACAGACATACCCTCGCTGCTAGAATAAACTGGGCAAAGGTAAGTTTAAAACTATTAATTTGCTCAGTAAAATCATTATTTTAATTTGCTCTTTCGCTTTAAACGTTTCCAACAAGTTTTCCACAACGCTCACTTTTCCGGAAAGTTTACACTTTTCCGGAAAGTTTATAATTTGAGGCATTTCTACAGTAATTTGAGAGGAAACTCGACTACGGCTTTACGTGCAGAATATTTTCCTAAATCTATATTTTTTTCAATAATCTACTTATCAAGTTGAAATGATACAACACAGCATTACATTCACAGACCGTGTGTGTTTTAAAAGCGAAAAAAACTTTAGCAACCATGTTTATACCTATCAGACCAGACGCACGCGCCCACTGAGCAACACGCTCACGCGCTCCCATGATGAAAGCAGAGGGAAAACAGAAGCTGAGTTTTTACCTTTGAGCTCTGTCATGTACTCATTAGACTGGCTCACTAAATACAACCGAGACAGATATGCTTAAAAATACAGTGTGTGTGTGTGTGTGTGTGTGTGTGTGTGTGTGTGTGTGTGTGTGTGTGTGTGTGTGTGTGTGTGTGTGTGTGTGTGTGTGTGTGTGTGTGTGTGTGTGTGTGTGTGTGTGTGTGGAACAGGTCAGCTGATAAGAGGAGCAGTGGTAGCTTCTGTTTGTAGAGTGCCACAGGGGTAAAGTGGGACAAGGACAGGGAACAGGAGCCGTCAGTGGGCTGGCCCCATTAACATTGTCCTGATAAGACGTTTTAACTGTTGATTACATCAAATTAAAAATATAAACTTGACTGGTTATCAGAATTTTGCCATAGCTTGATTTACAAATCTTTTAACTTCAACAAAAGCTGTGGCTCCTTCAGCAGCAGCGAGCTTCAGGCTGTAACATAATCAAGTATAATGACTTAGGCAGGCCGTTTGTGTATTTATTAGTTTTTCAAATAGTTTTTTTTCTCCATTCACCTAGTCAAGAAGTTAGGTGTTTTTCTTTTTATTTATTTTGTACTTCACATTGGCTAAATGTCCTGCCCAAGACTGAGAGAGAAACCAAAAAAAAAAAAAAAAAAAAAAATCAAACTTTCTGTCATACTTTGGCCCATAGCGAACTGAGAGAGAGGAGCAGTCAGAGCATGTTCCATAGGACAATGTTTACAGTTCAGGTTGGAGGAAAAATACAGAATAATCTGATTTATTTTAAATTAATTTTACAAAATACCAGCTGACATCTTCTACCTTCCTGCACGTTACCTGAGACTTGGTATTGTTGCATCCCTGCTCCCAGCTCTAATCACGAAAACAAAATGTGTGTTGAGCTATTAAGCAAAGAAAATGATGTTCTTGAACCTAGGCGGGCTCTGAAGCAACCAAGGTTTGTGTGAACATGCCTTTAGGCTCGTACACCAAACTTAGAAAAGTCCAAAAGTAAGACTCAGTAATTAAAGTTTGGTTTAAAGTATTTGTGTCTGTGTCGACATATATTCATGTAAAGCCTAAAACCTCCTGAAGTAGCAGATAAATGTGCAGTCAAAGAACAGAGCTGTCTTTCCTTCCTCGGGTTAGACAAAGTTAGCTCTGTCCTCCTCAGAGGCGAACTGAGACAAACACTCAGGAGAAAGAGGAGCTCGACTGTCCCCTCCTCACCTTTCGCTGTGTCACTTTGTTCGCAAACATAAATTTAGAAACCTGAACGAGGAGACATTGATTTTTATACCAGCATCATGGCCGTGACCTTCACCGCTTAGTTTAACCTTCTCAAGCAGGGATGGCAGAGCTGGACTTCTTTAGGGTTTAACAACAAATGATCAGAAATACAGTTTATTAGTGTTTGGGAGGTTTTTGGGAAGAATAGATGATGGGCGTTTCCTTCATCCTTTTATTTTCTGACTAGGCACATTCTGTCTGAGACTTGTGGTTACCGAGTGTGACTCATGGTTTGAGTATGCTGCTCCCTCGTGCTCTCCATGTCCCTCCTCCTTCCCTCCCATTTCCCAACAGCTTTCTTCCTCATCTTCCCTCCTGTCTCCTTCCCGAGACTGGAATTCTTCCTCCCGTTACACTCCATCCCTTCTCCACCACTGTCGTAACTCCTGAGTCTTCTCGCAAATGTCCTTTCCTCCTTCCCTTTGTTTACCAACATCCCATCATGACGCGTCTTCCTTTCTACATGTGTTGTTTTTTCGTCCCCACATCAATGGAGGTAACACTTTGCACCATCTGCTGGAACTTATCGTTGGACCAAGATAATCTGCAGCCAACGTGAGAAGTTCTAAAGTCTCTTGTTCGATTTTTTTAGGAACATATCAGGTCACATCCTGTTTTATAGTAAGAAAATCCCTGATTCCTGACTTGAGGAATTTTCTTGAAAGAACATCAAGGAATGCTTCGTGAGCTCGTGCTGTGCTGAGTCTGTTTGATCCATGATGCAGACTTTCCTGTGTGTGCCGGCCCCTCCCTATGTTTATGTTTATGTTTCTTTATTTGGCAGACGCTTTTATCCAAAGCGACTTACAATTTATAACCTATAGGGCATGTTGTGATCTGTGGGGAAACCGGAGTACCCGGAGGAAACCCACGCATGCATGGGGACTCCACACAGAAAGGCCGCAGCCGAGTTTCGAACCTGCAACCTTCGTGCTGCGAGGCAACAGTGCTAACCACTGCGTCACCATGCAGCCCTCCCTAATAACATGTTACGCACTGGAATGCATTGGAGCTAATTCAGGAAACAGAAGATGCCTTTGAGAATAGGCAGCTGTCTGCCTGGTGGAGAAGCACGAACACGTGTATCTAACATTCAGACATGTGGGTGCGTGCAGATAGTCTACACATGCCAAACTAACGAGCTATCATGCAATGTAGTGAATGCCATATGATACTATTTTCATCTACAAACTGAATGTGTCAAGTAGGTTCTTTCTAGGGATTAGCGTCTCAAATTGAAGTTTACTCAATAATAACTTGTAAACTTGCTCTCACCTACACTAGCACAAGACCGCTTCCCATTCTGGTCTGAAAACACCCTGTGTGGTGGACCAGAGGTTGCAGGGAAGCCTGTGTTTGCTATTTCTAAAGCCAGTCCTTCACTGTGCTTCAGCTAAACAAACTTCAAAAGGCACTGGCGATGAGTTTCTAAAATCTTGCATGTCTGGAACCCATTTTGAAAATGTCTCATTTAGTTTCTGCAAGTCAGAAGTGCAAAAAATGTAAGAGAGGATTGGGAGGGGTGGTTGAGGACCTAAAACATAAATTGAGACATATTTAAGACACTACGTTCACACAGCAGTCCTTGATGCTCAATTCAGAATTTTTTTTTTTTTGTAATTCAGATTTTTTTGTGTGGCTGTTCTAGGGCTGGGCGATAAATCGAAAATTTATCGTTATCAAAATTTCTGACTCTTATTGAGATCATTTTTCCCATGCACATACCTGTAGTTATCGTCCAGTTATTGTTATCGAGGTGTAATCCTCAATTTATCGTGATATTAATTTTAGGCCATATCGCCCAGCCGTAGGCTGGTCACACTATGACTGAAATGTAACATTGAAATCTCTCCAGCGTGAACGCTCCACAGCACCAAAGCGACCCGCATGCACAGAAGACAAGAAGTCACCATCAGTGGAGTTGAAACCAGGAGAGGCAGAGTTGTGATGTGACAGTATTCACTGACAGTTTATCCACAGGATCAGGATCACACCTGTTAATTCTTCTGTTTTGGGCTGTAAACTTTTTTAAAAACTGTAAACTTTTTTACTTCTTGTTCCCACTGTCTTCCTGAATTATTATTCACAGAAAATGTTCCAGTATTAATTCATTCACAGAGAATCCCCCTCTCACGGAGATGATGGGCTTTTGCCAGCAGTGTAAACGTAGCCATAGCGACACCACCACGATGACATATAACCTTTTTGATGTGTGTGGGCTACCGTAGATGCAATACCTACTCTGAATATGTTACGCTAAAGAATAAAAAAAATTCCAACGTCGGGTTTTTTAAGCAGTGGCCCTAGTTTGTGTGTACTATATGAACAGAAGTCACTGGCCTCACCTCACCAACACATTTACTTGAATTGTAGTTTTGCAGTCGGCAAACGAAACCGTCAGCAAGGTAAAAAAAAAAACCTTTTCTGTGTTTATAAAAAGAACTAAAAATGGAATTTGAATTGTAGTTGCTGCCTGTTCCTTGAAAGGATTTTCCATTAGATGTGGTGTTTCTTTGGGTTTTCCGATGTTGTGAGGTCAGGGCCTGTCATGTTATTCCACACCAAATCAATTTTTTTTTCATTATGCACTAAGGTACCGCCATAATGGAATAGAAAAAGGCTCAAAGTGTGGCAACAAAGATGAAAACATACCTTTGCTCAAAATATCCTAAGTGCCTTTTAATCCTGTACAAAAAAAAAACTAAACAAAACTTCACATTTGGCCCAATGACGTCAGGTAGTCAAAGTTCTTCCAATGAACCAAACCCGACCACTAAACATAGGAGAAGGGATTTGTCCCGCCTCAGAAACAGTTTCCACTGCTCCTCAGACCAGGGACCTCATTCATCTAACATTCGTAGAAATTAGGGATGTACAGTATTCTACAAATCAAGACAAACCATAGCAGTAGCGAAGGATTTTGTTTGCTCTGCAGGCCAGTTTGGTCTAGCCACTCTTCACCATAGCATCAGCAGGTCTACCATCGGCACAACTATTTAAAGTCAGGCCAATCTCGGCGCTCTTTGTTTATAGAGAGACATTGAGTAGGCTTAGCACCAGAGCTGTGAAGGAGAAAAACTACAAACATGGCTGAAACGGCTTTAGCATTTACTTTGGACAATTTAGAATTGAGTTTTTCTTCAAGACATGAGCATATCGAGGGACCTAAGCCCCCTTCAGACAGGCCATAAAAAACGGAAATGTTCCGGACTCTGTCCGTAAGACCTTTTTGTCTAAATACAAACATCCGGATAACGTTTTCCGTAATTTAACCGGACGACGCCCCTAGTAACAGGTCCAGACTTGTTACGGACAAGGTGGCTGC